AAATTAACGACTGATATTATAATTAATTTTATTTTTTATACTGTAAAAATTTGATTTTATCTCAATTTTTTTTTGGGTCGTTCCTAGAATATCCATCGCCGATAGTAATGACTAATTTTCTCACTACGTTGGAGGCACTGAGATAACTGGCTCCAAGATTTAACGCGGCTGCATACACAAGGCATGATTCGAATTCCTGATCTTGCTTAAGCGTGGATCAACCCCTACTACTGAACCAAATAAAGAATCAAATATCAAAATCTGACATCAAAGTAAAAGCTTACACAAATTTAATCATGACAGTTTTTTTTTTTTTTTTTTAACTTCCCTCAAGACGACGAGGGCTATAGCACATTGAGAATACAAGGTTCTAATTACATGCTAGACATGCACAAATTTTCTGTTCTCATCTATGACAAAAGGTTCGCTCATAAACCATGTTTTCCTCTCTTTTATGTCTCTCTGTTTTTGCTTTACTACCACAACAAATTATTGTTAATTCTCTCTTTAGTTACGCTCGATTCTTTTCTGCAACACCAAACCCCTCTCTTGAATTATAAAATGATGCTTCTGTTTTTTTATATCTTCTTTTACAATGGAAACAACTAAAGTAATTCCAAATTTCACCTTTTTATTTATTTTTATTTTAATATATAACTTTGTCGGTACAACTTTAAATTTTCAGTTTTTGCCCATGTTTTTAATCTAATTAATATACAACTAACTTGTAATAGCCAAGAAATTACGGCTGAGTATGAACCAAAAGAAATCTCCAAATGTATAAATCTTTAGTTACAATGAGCCATTAACATAATTTACTTTCCCATGCTTAGCACATTAATCCTTTCAGTAAAACACTAGGAATTTCCGTATCATATAATAATTAAAATTCATCAAAACCATGATATCTAGATATTCGTTCTATATTCCTTAGCATCAATTGCTAATTAAACTCGCTCTCTTCAATTATGATGCAACAAGAGGGAAAAATCACTAGGTAAACAAACAGTAAGGAAGATCAAGTTTTCCTGCTTTGTGAACGGATCAAGTTAGATTCCATTCATCCAACTTACTAAAGTTCTATCTTGCTCTTACTTTCAAATATAAATATATATTTTTAATTATTTTATATGAACTTGCAGCTTTTATGTAACGTGACATAATAATGCACGCCGAATGGCCTGGATTGGTTCCACCCAAAGAGAAAACAAAAGGATTTTTCTCAAGTGCACCACTTGAAAATTAGGTTATTTGTGAGGACTGTGGACCTGATTATGATCATATCAGTTTCTATGGCCCAACACGCAGTTTTGCATATTCCTCATAGCATATCTTCACAATATATATATATATATATGGACTCACCACGCTCTTACTTATATATATACTCTTATATTTGTTTCAAAATTATGAACGTGAAACTTGTTTTGAACAGTCATAAACATTGATGCATCCATCCAACTAACTGATGCATGAACATGTCTAAATTGGAAATCTTGCCTACACGCCATAATATCTGTCTCTTTATACCAGCTCAATTTTAGACAATAGAAAACCCCACATCTAAAGAGAACTTTATTTTATCTTTAACATTGTGCATTATTTAGGGGATTTCAGATTTGAGTGATTCAGACAATAGCAGTTTAAAATGGCTTTTATGCAGCCAAAGCCATGTGTTTGTTCATTTTAGCACTGGCCAGCTTAACATGCCTGCAAGAAAATCATTTGAAGACAAAAACTATTGTTGCCAAGTATTTTTAGTTCTTAAATAGTTCTTAAACAGATAGACAGATTAGGAAAACAAATTGAATCTTTTTAAAATTTAACAAGATTGCCTGATATTGTTATAGAATTAACAATCAAGATATATTTTTTTCTAAAAAAATATTATTCGATTCCCACTTTGTCAAGCAAATTGAATCTTTTTAAAAACTAACAAGCTTGTGTTATTGTTATAGAGTTAACAATCAAGATGTTCTTTTATATATATATATATATATATATATTTTTTTTTTTTTCTTCCAAAATAACTATTATTCGATTCCCATTTTGTGTTGTGCGCCACTACTGAATTGGCAAAAACCATTGATCTTTGGAGGACATATTTTTATCATCAATTATAGTAAAAAAGAAATCACTTCATAGGCATAATCGCCCATATCATATCCAATAAAACACATGGCTAACAATATCCACGTTAATTTTTTAAAAAGCAAAAAAATTTATATAGTGAATAATTATATAAAAAAAGGTATGAAAATATTTCTAATTGTTTGCAAAGGAAGATTTTAATTAATAAATTTGTTTTTTGATTTATTTATGTATATTTTTTTATTTTTCTAAACAATTGAAGATTATAATAATTGAATAAAATGTAAAGAGCAGAAATGATTATTAAGAGGAATATCTTTTAAATATAATGATATAAATAATAAGCGTCTTGAACTTATTCCAAGAGTGTACAGAGGAAATGACATGAAACACGATAAAAACAACTAAAATATACACATCCAATAACATGGTCAGTTGTTACCATGATGAGAATTCTTCTTTCTAATATATATATGTGATCATGTGACATACAAGTTATAGCACTTTCTATTTTAGGTTTAAAGACAACCATTTTTATCGACTTTAAGAGTACTCACAATAATGCACTCTTTTTTTTATTTATGTATTATCCTGGTGCAGATAAATGTTTGTTTTCGTTAAATAATAATAATAATAATAATAATAATAATAATAATAATAATTTATATCTATTATAAGAAGAAATGATTTAATAATTATTCTTTTGTTTTCATTTTTTGCACCATTTTTTTTTATTTCTAATAAAGAAAAATATCCTTAAAATTATTTTATTTGAATTTTTTTAAATCATTACAAAAATATTCTTATAATTTAATTTTTTTTTATTATGTCTTATAGATTAAATGTATTTAAATAAATTTTACAATTATATAAATAATATATAATGATGTAAATATATAACTAACTACATAATATGACAAATATGATTAGATAGAAAAATTGATATTGGAATATGAATATTAAAATAAGGCTTTCTCTAACAAATTCTTTACGAGACTTTTCTTTTTGGTTGTAATGTCAACAATGAATATGATTAAAAAATGAAAAACAATCGTATTGATAACATGTTATGAAAATCAACATAAAAATATAAAGTGTAGTGTAAAAATATTAGAAAGAAATGCTAGAAGGAATAGATAAAATAACATAAGAAAATAAAGATGCTCTTGTATTATTTTCAATAAAAAAAAGTGGTGTATTTATAGACATAAATTGTAACTAAACTCTTACAAATAATTTAATAATATTAAGATAAAATATAAATAACAATAATTGATATTGACGTACTATTAAAAATTCATAACAACTTATTTTCTTAGAAAATAAAGTCTACATTGATATGATGTAAGTTAAGTCGAAGTATCTGTCGAGTTATCTAATTTATTTACATCTCTAAGTATGATGAATATCAAAGACAACACTTTTATCAATTACCAATCCAATAGTGACGTCAAACAAGTGGGAATCAAATAATAGTTTGTTAATAACAATATCGATAATAATAAGTTAAACAATGAGAGATATACATGCAAAGGGATATAATAATAGTTTCATCCTTCTTTACTAAGCTCTTGGTCCTTATTCCTTGAATCTTTGATTTAATAGTTTTCATAGTGTTTTCATCATAACACATTTGAAAAAGACAATGGCTGTAACAACAAAAGTCACTCAATGTTTAAGTAAGTATTTAGCCTTAATGTTAATAATGCAATAAATGTTATAATAAATACGATATAAAAGTATCCTTCTACTTTACAAAATAGTTATTTATATTATACTATAGTAGATGTTAAAATTAATTAATAAATATAATATAAAAGTGTCCTTTCACTTAGTGACAAGCTCAGAATTTTAAACTAATTACTTCTAACTTTTCATAATAGATGTTCTTCTAGTATGTTTGGTATATATACCTAAACAGTCTTTGGCAAAATCTCAACAAATCCTCGGCTGGAACCTACTAGTATCCAAGACTATTAAAAATTTTAAGAAGATCCTATTTCTATCTCCCGGAGAACTAACTCATAGTGACGACCATAGTTAAGTTATCCTAAAAAAAATTGTGCAGACATGTTAAGTGGTCCAATAATGCTAAAATGGATACATACCTTTGGTTGCATAATCCAAAAGCTGTTTTACACTGTTATTCTCGGAGCAGTGAGATCCTCTAAATAAAGCACAATATTAAGATAAAATCAAGTTTACTTTCGACCTGGGATTTTCTATTGTCTCAAATTAATGGATCATGAAGAAAGAGACTGCAGAGATATTATAGCATGTGAGCAATTCCAATTAGGCATGTTAGTTGCGTGCATAGATGTTAAGAATAAATTACATAGTGAAGAGGTTCACAAGTTTAATCGTATAATGCTGTTTTTAAATTTTAATCAAATAGGTTATTTAAATTTAAAGTTCACTAACTCATTATTTCACACTTTAGAAATTAAGAAATAAAAGAAACACAATGAAGAGGTTCGCGAGTTTAATCCTATAACTTTTTATGTTGGAAAACAAATCTCCCTATGTTAAGAAATTAAGAAAATATAATTAAAAAGGTACTTAAGTAAAAGAATTTTGAGTCTAAAGCGTCATATTATTTTTGAAGAAAAAAGCTACGATGAAGCAGAAGGCCTTGTAGTTAACTGCCTCATGGTCTCAAGAAATTGCTTTTATGGAAAAGCAGAAAAAGGCTATTCATATTAAGAGGTATAATTATTAAACATGACAGAAACAGTTCATATCATAGTCAGATCTAGTCCAAACAAATAACCTAATTTTAAAATGGTGCAAGAATAACTTTTTTGCTTTCCTTTTGGGTACGTGCCAACATGGAACTGTGATCAAGGCCAATGGTGAGCATTATTAGTACTTCAGAACTACTATAAATTTCTGCAATAACCTAACAACATTCTCACCCTTGTCTTTTCCAAAAGAAAAAAAACATGAACAATATGAGCACCCTCTTTCTCTTTCTCCTTCTTTCAACACTACTCAACGTAAGCACACTTTTCATTCTCTCTTTGCAATTGTATCAAGTTTAATTCTAACACATTTTGATCACCGCTACGTTGCAGGTTGGTTTGTGTGGACGCGACCTAGGAGATAAAAACCCCTTCACGCAGAAGGCTTTCGTGGCACGCTATTGGGACAGCCACGTCATCAACAAGCTCCCAAAGCCGTCATTCCTTCTTTCCAAAGCCTCTCCAATGAGCGCCGCCGAAACGGCGTCGTTCGCCAAGCTTGCCGCCGCCAACACCCTCTCCACGCGGCTGCCGGAGTTATGCTCCGCCGCGCACCTCCTCTGCTTCCCGGAGGTCCGCCCCAGCCTTGAGAAACACTCCGAAGACGTCGATTTCACAACCTACAACGACGGGCAGAACTTCACCAACTACGGAACGAGTCGACCCGGCGGAATCGACTCGTTTAAGAACTACTCCAACGACCTCTTCAGCACTCCGGTCAATGACTTCCGCCGCTACAGCCGCGGCGCCGCCGGCCACGACGACAGCTTCGTCGGCTACGCCGGCGACACCAACGTCGCCGACCAGAGCTTCCACACATACGGCACGAACGCCGCCGGCGGCTCCGGCGAGTTCAAGCAGTACGCTACTAGTTCAAACGTCCCCGACCTGCGATTCACCACCTACTCCGACAGCACCGGCGGCAGGACGCAGTCGTTCTCCAGCTACAGCGAGGACGGCAACTCCGGCGGCCAGACATTCTCCAGCTACGGCAAAAACTCCGCCGGCGCCGCCAGCGAGTTCACCGGCTACGGAACGGAATCCAACGTGGCCTCGTCTAGTTTCACGAACTACGGCCAGAAAGGCGCGGGTCCCAACGACACGTTCACGAACTACGGCGTGAACATGAACGTTCCTGAAGAGAATTTCAAGAGCTATGCAGATGGAACCGTTGGTGGAACGCAGAGTTTTACCAACTATAGAGACCAGGCTAATGTTGGTGACGACTCTTTCCAATCCTACGCTAAGAACACCAAAGAAGGGACTCAAGTTGATTTCAATAACTACGGTAATTCCGCGAACCCAGGTACGGACACTTTCACTGGCTACGCTAAAGGAGCTCAAGGGGATCACAAAGTTGGTTTCACTCGTTATGGCGTTAACACTAACACCACGTTTAAGGATTATGCCAAAAATGGTGTTTCCTTTGCTACTTACAACACCTCTTCGTCGGTTAGTGGCAATTTGGTAAAAAGGTGGGTTGAACCGGGTAAGTTCTTTCGCGAGAAGATGCTTAAGGAAGGAACTATTATGCCGATGCCTGATATAAGAGACAAAATGCCACAAAGGTCATTTTTGCCCCGTTCTATTTTGACAAAATTGCCCTTCTCGTCTTCTAGGGTTGATGAGTTGAAGCGTGTATTCAAGGTTTCTGAAAACTCCTCTATGGACAAGATGATTATGGAGTCACTAGGCGAGTGCGAGAGGGCTGCTAGTGCAGGCGAGACCAAGCGTTGCGTGGGCTGTGTTGAGGATATGATTGATTTTGCAACCTCTCTTTTGGGTCACAATGTAGCAGTTTGGACCACCGAGAATGTGAATGGGTACAATAAGACTGTGATGGTGGGTCGGGTCAAAGGGATGAATGGTGGCAAAGTGACTCAGTCTGTGTCGTGTCACCAGAGCTTGTTCCCTTACTTACTTTACTATTGTCATTCCGTCCCTAAGGTTCGGGTATATGAAGCAGATCTTTTGGACCCAGAATCTAAGGTGAAGATAAATCATGGTGTTGCCATCTGTCACTTAGACACCACTGCATGGAGTCCCACCCACGGTGCTTTCTTGGCTCTCGGGTCCAGTCCAGGTCAAATTGAAGTGTGTCATTGGATCTTTCAAAATGACATGACTTGGACTGTTGCTGATTAATTGAGGAAACTTAAGTTGATTTGCTACTTCCGTGACCAAATTGAAATGAAAACACCTCTCTAAACTCGAGCTAACTCTATGTTAGTGTGTTTATCATTTCAAGTTATTGTTTTTCTTTCTTTCTTTCAAATAAATGGTGTCACCTTTTGGAAGAAGCCATGTGTTTATGTAATGATCACTTAATTATGAGTCTAATGGTGTATTATACTATTTATGACTTCCACGTTGAGTAGATGCAATTGAATCTAGTGTGCATTTATTTATTCAACAAGAAATGGCTAAAGAGTGATGATGTTACAAATTCATACAATACCCCTAAAATTCTCGTACATACAAATACATATTACAATATCACAACTTGGATATTACACATAAAATAATGTTAAATTAATCTTTATATATATAAATATTATTGATTTAGTCTTTATTATTGTTAATCTCTTTACAAAGTTTTTAATTTGATTTATGTGTAAGGATTCAATTAAAAATATTTAACATATTGAGGGGCCAAATTAAGAATAAATTATATTTATAAGGATCAAATTAAAAATGCTCAAGGAGATATGGGCCAAATTAGTATTAATACATAGGACCAATTTAAATTTTTTTTTTTATAAGGAATAAACTGAGAATCAACAATACATATAGGGACTAAATTATATATTTAACATTTATATATAATTATTAGAATTTTCACCTGAATTATTTAGATAATTAATTACGAGTGTGCAAAATAAGTGTAATTAAGAATAAAAATGAGTAAGTATATTTAAGAGTGAAAATAAGTAAGTTATTCTTGAACTATTTATGCTCGTGAATTATTTATTTAAACTCATTTATTTAATTAAATAAATAAATCTAATTTGAATTTCAACTTAATTATTTAAACCTTTTGTGTCATTGTATATATGGTGTTTCTTTTATGAAAATCACTACAAGAAAAATGCTGATTTTCGACGAAAACAGGTAAATTTCTGACAAATTTTTTTCTCTCGATGGATTTCAATCCGTTGGAAAAAGTGGCGTCGAAAAAAAAAATCCGTCAGAAATAATTTAATCCGTCAGAAATTTTCGACGGAAATATCCGTCCGATAGAATTTTTCGTCAGAAATTATAATTTTTTTTAATTTTAATAAATTTATTAATGTAACAACCCTCATATTTGGCCTCTCAAGGGTTCTATTTCACGATATTTCACTATTTAACGTGTTTTATCCTTACTTGTGCAATTTCTGGGAAACTTTCCAGAAGGTCACTCATCCATGTACTACTCCAGGTCAAACACGCTTAATTGTGAAGTTCTGATGAGTAAGCTACCGAAATGTATATGTATGTTGTCAGTATAACTTGTACAAATTAATTCATTTAAGTCATCCTCAAATATACAATCTCATACTTGTACTATAATAATAATTTTATATTTCGAATAATAATAATAATAATAATATATTTAATTTTTATTTATTTATATGTACTTACTTTTATAATTAACATCTACTTATTTATATGTAAAACTATATTTTAAATTATTTAATTTTATAATTTATAACGATAATATAATAAAGACTCCCTCTATATTCAACATCCAAAGTATTTACAAGGTGTGGTGCCTAGGATATTTATAGGAGTGGGAGACATTTAGGGTTGCATTGGCCGAAATTTACAATGCCAAATGCATACCAAATGAAACCTAAATTAACCCTAGATGCAACTTGGTAGCCAAGGATGGAATCTTTGGGTTTAGTTAGGTTACACCTAGGTGCATGATAAGACCATGCAACATTTGCCCTCCACTTGGGCCTAAGCCTTTCTAAGTCCAATAGTAGGCCCAAACACCACCAAAAATGCGTCTAGCTCCCTAATTAAATACCTTAGCCCAAAATTAAAAACCCATGATCTAAAGCACCCCATAATACAAGGGTAAAATGGGAAATACAAAAGAAAATAAATCATATGACTAAGATACCCCTAATACAAGGGTAAAATGGGAAATACAAAAGAAAATAAATCCTATGTCTAAGATACCCAAAATACAAGGGTGAAAATGGAAAATTTAAAGATAAGGGAACAATAGGAATAAATTTTATGTTAATAATAAAAATGTAGGAGCTAAGGCCCAAAAGTAGGCCCACTCCTCTTAGAATTTTCAAAACTAACCCATTCTTCTTGTCTCTTTCAAAATATCACCTCTTGTTCTTCTTGGCCTTAGTGTGATTCCATCATAATCCAACTCTTTCCAGGCTAACTCATTTTTTATTTTTATATTTTTTAACTTTAATAAAGCGTTAGAATTCTCTTATACTTTTTTGATAAGCAGTGTAAACTAATTCTTTACTCTTAAAAAATTTGACTCGAGTTTCGCTCTGACGCGTATGAGCTCTTTGGATTCAACTAGCTTAGTATCAAACAAAACTAAAACCCGTTTGTTTGTAGTAATTTTTTATAAATATTTTCAATTTTAAACACATGTTTAGAAATCTATAATGATTAAATACTTTTTGAAATAGAAAACCTTAAACCTTTTATTTGAATGTTTATTCTCCACCAAAATATAATAATTTCTAAAATTGTTATGATATGTTTTTTTTAATGATAATTAATAGTGACAGTGACTATAATAATAATAATCATAATCATAAAAATTAAATGAAAGTTGAAATTAATATTAATTAAATTTTTTAATTAAGTAAAAATACATAAATAATTTGGTATCGAAGTATTAGGATCAATTGTTACTTATTAATAATTTTTTAATTTTGACCCATGTATAGTTATATGGTCCATATTTATAATTTTCATGCCTATAATAAGCCAATTTCTGATTTGATACGAATAATAACAAATTTCTTTTTATAATTTTTTATAAAAAGTAAATTTTATGAATTTACCACACTATTAAATTGTGAGATATTATTTTAATGATCATATATATATATATATATATGAAAAATTTATTGTTATCAATTAAATTAACTATTTTTCTTAATCTTGATGATTTAGGTAATTAGACCTTATATATATATATAGAGGAAGGAAGGTAGTATACAAGCTAATAGAATGAAGTAAAATTTTTTTTTAGAGGTGTTAAATATCAATACGATAATAGTACGTAATTGTTGTAGGTGACACCAAGATAATTATTTATCTTTTTTTTTAAAAGAAAAACAAAAAGTAGTTAAAAATGATTACATAAAAAATAAGAATTAAAAATAAAAATTCCAATTTTAGAAAATGAAAATAAGAATTAAAAATAAGAAATTAAAATAAGAAATTAAAAATAAGAATTAAAAATAAGAAATTTCTGACAGAATATTCCGTCAGAAATTTTTCGTCGGAAATTTCTGACAGATTTATTTTTCCGTCGGAGAATTTTCCGTCAGAAAGTTTCCGTCGAAAATTTTCCGTTAGAAAATATAAATTTTTTGACGGATCTATATCTGTCGGAAATTTTCCGTCGAAAATTTGCGTTTTTCTTGTAGTGAATATTTATTTTCTTTTGATAATGTTATGTATAGTTTTTAATTTTATTAATATCATATATCTTAAACTTTGACAAATTTTGTGTCAAATTTGATATTTTAGTTAATTTAACTTTGTCTTCCAAAAAAAAATAATTATGCCTACAAAATAATTTATTTTTTATTTATTTTTTACCATGTAACAGATGATAGCATGTGTGCTAATTTCTTTTTTACTATGTAATTGATAATAGAATGTGTGCTCCAAAGATCAATGGTTTTGCCAATTCAGTAGTGGCGCACAAGGCAAAGTGAAAATCGAATCATAGTTTCTTTTGGAAAAGAAAAAAAATACCATCTTGATTGTTATCTCTATATCAATAACAGACAATCTTGTTAAATTTAAGATCCAGTTTGTTTCTCATAATTTGTCAATCGTATGTTTAGGAACTAAAAAAGCTTGTTTAATTTTAAGAAGATCCAATTTGTTTCTCTAATCTGTAGTATGTTTAAGAACTAGAAAACTTATCAGTTGCAATAGTTGTCTTCAAATAATTTTCTTGCAGGCATGTTAAGCTGGCCAGTGCTAAAATGAACAAACACATGGCTTTGGCTGCATAAAAGCCATTTTAAACTGCTATTGTCTGAATCACTCAAATCCCCTAAATAATGCACAATGTTAAAGATAAAATAAAGTTCTCTTTAGATGTGGGTTTTTCTATTGTCTAAAATTGAGCTGGTATAAAGAGACAGATATTATGGCGTGTAGGCAAGATTTCCAATTTAGACATGTTCATGCATCAGTTAGTTGGATGGATGCATCAATGTTTATTATGAGTGTCGAATTTTGAATAAAATATAAGAGTAAAGAGTATATAAGTAAGAGTTCGGTGAGTCCAAAATGTCAACAATATTTTTAAAATAACTCATTTTCTCATATTCAAGCAAAGGTAAAAAAAGGATATGAATATATGTGAAAAACGTGAGTATCAGGAATGTGAAACTGCATATTGGGCCACAAAAACTGATATGATCATAATCAGGTCCACAGTCTTCACAAATAAACTAATTTTCAGTGGTGCACTTGAGAATAATCCTTTTGTTTTCCCTTTGGGTGGAACCAATGAGGATGAGGCCATCAGGCGTGCATTATTATGTCCTGCTAAATAAAAGATCGATGCAAGTTCATATAAAATAGTAAAAGAAATCTACACTATATAAGTTAAACATTAACCTCTTGATGAAGATTTTCGCAATCTCTCCACTTGGCAAGCGGACCAAGTTTCGATGTAGTATTTAAGTATCGTCCTCAGGAATTTGAGAATTTAGTAATTCTTACTCTAATGATCTAATAAAAGACATTGATATGATTGAAAGTGAATTAATGTGAAGTAAAATAAAACGATAATGTAAAATTTATAAGAACAATTATAAGAAGCGAGGATTGGACTCAGGAGTACTTGCTAAATCTTAAATCTTTTTAAAATAAATATGATTTCAATTTCATGACTTCCACGTTCATTTAGTAATTCAACAAGATCCCTCAAAGTTGAATCCTAAAGTGATTAATCTAAAACATGATTCTTCTATGTTTTGAAATTAACACTTTGCATTAAGAACAATGACTTGAACAAGGTGACTAAACAAATCAAGTCTATTCCTAGAGCAAGAGATGTTTAGGTGCAAGATTCAGTTCGGGTTTTTAAAAACGTTTTCCAACCGGATTCAAAAACCAAAAATCATACAACGGGTGATCAAGCCGATATAAGCATTAAGAGAAGAATCA